AGGGGGGATGACATTGTAGCCAAGTGGGACAGAAGTGTGGGTGACCTGGGGACTTGATACTTGTGACTGGTGTCTGAAATGAGGGCAGTCTTGGGGGGCTAACTCTGGTAGTTAGTGTCAGAACTGAACTGAATTGTAGGCTATTCACCTAGTGTCTGGAGGAAAACAACCTATCAAGGAGGAAGCAAGTTTCCCATTCCTGCAGAAATGTTCAAGCAGGGACCAATGAGCTGACTGTGGCGAAGTTGGTGCAGGGACTCTTGCCTGGGGTGGGGGACTGGCCTAGATGAACTCTCAGGCAGTGAGAAACTGTTGATGGATGGGCACTGATCTGCAAACTTCTTACGGCTCAGTGATGAAGTGTACAGCAGCGGAGAAGCATTTAGGAACTTTTACTAGCATTTTGACATTACTGTGTCACCAAAGTCATGCTCAGAAGGTTCATTTCTTTAAACAGAGTCCAGACCTATCTGGGTATTACTCAGTTTGGTGGGTGGGGCGACACATGAAGGGGGTGCTGCAGACTGGTCACGCATAGTAGGACCACACTGAGTTCTGCAACAGATCGGAAATTAAAAAGCGGGTCCTTTACCACCAGTGGCCTGAGAAGCACTGCTCAGAGGCCTCAGGCTCACTGTGACATCCCTGGTGAAGCCCTGCTTGACCATCCCAGCTAAAAAGGGCTCTTCCTCTTCCTTTGCGCCAGGCCCCCGTCTGTTCTCCCCACGGTACTTACCAACACTTGCTATCCACCATGTATCGTGTTACCCGTTTATATTGACTGCTCCCCCTGCCAGTCTGTGAGGCCACCAGCACAGGAAGCTCAGCAATTTTACCCACCCCTACATCACCAGTGCACAGACTACCTGGCACCGAGAAAGGATCCGAAAAATGAGGGCTGAATGAATGACATGACTTGTTATGTGATAAAGCACTCCTGATACAACTTTTGTTTTTGGTAATGGTGGGCTAGGTTATTCCACCAACCCTCCCATGGCAAAAACTAAAACTGCTGAAATATTAAAAGCACCTCCTTAAAAGCCCTTGGCGTGCTCACAAGATAGTCCGGAATTACCAGCCCAAACAGAGGCAAGTGGGAACCCAGAGAGGTAAGAGGACCTTGGACATCTTTTTTAGCTTGAGGGTATTTGTCAATCTGGGCAAAACTAAACTTGGGTTTTGGTGGCCTCATGGGACCAGAGAGCAGAGCATCAAGCCCCCAGAGCCGCTGAAGCAGGTCAGTCTAATAGGAGACCCACCCCACATTAAGCTGGGAACCCAAAGGGCTACCCGTTCAAGGAAAAAGTGACCCAGAAGAGACCCCCTGTATCCCAAAGGCTACAGGGAAGGTTGTCAGTGCTGAGGAGAGCTGAGCGAGGAGTGCTCTGAGGTGCTGTGCCCACAAGCCAGGCTTCACGTACACCTGTAGCTCTGTTCTGCATCACTGGGGTGGTTTGGGAAGTCTCATGCTGGGAATTTAGTTTTCAGTGTCTGGCAAAAGAAAATGCAAACCCTCCCTTCGATTCTGACATCCATTCCAATATGTGTTTTCTCCCCACATCACCCCTCTGACACCAGCTGGGTGTTCTGAAATTCAACTCTGTTCTGATACCGTCTACCTGGAGACAGCCTTGGATCCCACAGGTGAAGGGCTCAGTCCTACCTGTGCTTCTGACCAAACAGCCATAGATTGGAGGTTCCAATGACCCCCTCCTTGGGTTCCATTAATTTGCTAGAGTGGCTCACAGGACTCAAGAGAAGCATTTTACTAACTAGATTACCGGATTAACTATTAACTAGATTCATTATAAAAGGATATAACTCAGGAAAAGATGCACAGGGCAAAGCATAGGGAAGGGTGTGGAGAGCTTCCATGCCCTCTGGGCATGCCACTCCCCTGAAATCTCCCCGTGTCCCCCAGCCCAGAAGCTCTCTGAACCCCGTCCTTTGGGTTTTTATGGAGACTTCACTGATTGATTAAATCATCGATTAAATCGTGTTTTATTAAATCACTGTCCATAGGCAACTGAACTCAATCTTCAGCCCTTCTCTTCTCCCCAGGGTTGGAGGTCAGAGGTGGGACTGAAAGTTCTAACCCTGTAATTGTATGGGAGGTTCCTCTGGTGACCAGCCCCCACCCCTAGGGGCTTTCCAAAAGTCACTTCATTAACATGACAAAAGACACGTAGATCACTCTCCACACTTAAGGAAATTCACAGGTTTGGGCAGCTCTGTGTCAGGAACTGAGAAAAAGACCAAATATACATTTCTTATTTTAAATCATGATATAACACTCCCTACCAAAAGGAGACTCAACCTGGGCCTCCCATTAATCCGAAAAATTCATTTTCAAGAACAACACCAGCACACTGTTAGGCGGCCACGAACACAGGGACACACAGTAGGCTACTACCCCATGAGCACAGGCCAGGAGAAAAATCACACAACAGAGAGCCCCTGCAACGTCACACAGTGGAATGATCTGTCACAGATGGTAAAACCATTATATTGACTGTGTGTAAAGAAAGCAAGGCAAATTCGACATTGTCTTCAACCGAACAGTATATATAAGTGACTGAGCCACCTTGAACTAGGCAAGGCTTCTTAGAAACGACGTGAAAAGCTAGGTAGACGAGACATCATTACATTTAAAAACGTCTGTGCTTCAAAGGACACAATCAAGGAAGTGAAAAAGCAATCTGCAGAATGGGGGAGAATTTTTGCAAATCACGGATCTGATTAGGGTCTAGGATCCGTACTGTATAAAGAACACTTAAAATGCTATAAGAAAAGAGAAATAACCCAGTAATGAAATTACTTTGCAACCTGTTTCTTCGTGCATTTGAAAAATTTTAAGCAGCTACAAATATTGTCCCTTCTAGTGCACGGATGACTTTTTGTTTTGTTTTGTTTTTTCAGAATTTTTAAAACTTTAATACATAGTGCACGGATGACTTTAACGGACTCCGAGCAAGCCAGCTTGGTTTCCCTCTGAGTCTCACGTGCACTCGGGTCTTTTATCAGGGTGTGCATTAACACTGGCCGCAGGCTTTTAGCTGAAGACCATCAATATAAAACACAGCCACAGTGCTCCAGCTGAGCACTCACGCTTGGTGGCTCTGGTAGAAACAAAATTGAAAACAGTATTTGAGCCTTGATATCATATTTCCCAGAGAGGCAATCTGAGACAGGACTGTGTTTTGGACACAAGAGACCGCAGTGATTTGTGAAATCAATAACTCCACCAAATGGCTTCAAAGATGTTAAGTGAACTGTCTGTGGTCACTCTGCTAGTGAGTTGTGGACTCACCATCTGAACCCAGGCAGTCTGACTCTAGAGCCACTCCTGTCCATGATCCTCCAGAGGCGATTTCTAATCCCTGACCGGGTCCAAAACGTGTCCTTTGGCATGGGGCAGGGCCAGGGGACACAGCCAGGTGAGGAGTGTTTGGGGATCCTAGGACCACATTTATGTCTTTCTTAGGAAGTGTGGATTGCCTCTGGACACTGGTTCCGGCAGGCGGCAGAGCTCTGCTTACATGGGGTGGGGGAAGTCTAGTACAGTTTGCTCATTTCAGGCTGGGCTAAGGTTTTGCAAAAATTTTGGGAGCACAAGGATGTCTTGAGGTACAGCAACCCCTGGGGTCTCTGGCACTTAAGGTTCCCAAAGTAGAAACTCAGCATGGTAGCTGCTAGCTTTCTGAGCACTGGGAAATGAGGACTCAGGGTTTCCGCTCCGGGCTTAGCTCCTGGCACACAGCAGGCTACCTGAGTCTGTGGTACTAAGACCATCTTGTTTCAGGAGCTGGGCCATTTGCGGAGGGCTGTTTCCAAGCTTCAGAAGCAAATTCCCCTGGGAGTTCCTGCCTCTGTGTGGGTCAGTTGACATCACTGTGGACAAGATGTATGTGGGCACCTATTCAGGAGTCCAGCCTAAGATGGGACGGCCTCCTTGTACCTCACGGAGCACTGGTGAAGCCCAGAGCTGAAGATAAGAAATAACGTCCCAAATGCCGTGGCCTTTCAAATTAAATGCATAGCCCTTCACCAAGAATTTGATCAAGGAGGTGGTCGGGAAAGCAAGGCTGGCAATATAGCTTGGTTATGTTAACAACCCCACCATCATCACGAGTACAGCTTTACAAGCTTGGCTCACTGACTCTTTTAATAATACAGAGACACTATCCATTTTATAGATGAAGAAACCGAGGCTCAGAAAGGCTCGGTTACTTCCCCAGGGTCATATAGCTAGGAGATGGGGGAGCGAAAACTTGAACCCAGGCTTGTCTGACTCCAAAGCTGGGGTGGGAGGTGCTTAAGCACTCTGACGGCCTACCTCTCAGGGAGGTAGCAAAGATGGAAAACACTGGGGCTCACACCACCCTCTGCAGTTTTGGGGGTAGACCTCAAGGGGTGGAGTGGGCAGTGGAAGTCTGAAGAAGAATCACAAGCAAGGTGAGTCCCTGTGGCCAGCAGCAAGAAAGACCAGGAGACCCCAGAAAGAGGGCTTGGGCCCAAGGATGGGGGACAGACACCTTTCCTGGTGTCTTCCCTGAATAAAGATGACATTTGGTAATTGTAGTAACTTTTGCATCTCTCTCCTAGACCCTGTGTTGCTCACAGGGCAATGCTGAGCTGACCAGCTTGGCAAAGGGGGAGAGCTGGGCTTCTGGGGCTACCCACAAAGGTGACCTGGCTGTGAATTCTTCTTCGGTCCCACTGCTGGCAGACCACCTTAATGTCCCTGGCTTTATTATAGATCTTTTAAAGGGTATGCATCACCCTATTAATAGTACCTTCCATACAGAGAATAATGGCATTTTCCCTTCACGCCTGCTTCAAGCGAAGCTCGGAAGAGCTCCATTGAGCCCTTCCCAGGCTGCATTTAGGCAAGTGTTCTGCGGTAATGAGCATCACCAACTGTTCACTGCTGTAACCCAGGTGCTATAATCATGTGCTTGGTGACAATACCGGGGTGGGGTGGGGTGGGGCTTCCTTACCTCATCTGAAGAGCCATTTTCCACTCTGAATCTTCCAGCCCTTTGGATGGCTCCATCGGCATCACTGGAAATAAGCTAGGGGACAAGAGAGCGCTCAGTTAGGTAGCTGGGTCGCCATGTGCAAAGCCTCTTCTGTCTGTCTGTATCTGTCCTACAAGTAAGCCAAATCCAACGACAGCTGGAGGGCCTAGCCTAGAAGCTAGTGGTCTTTCTGAAGCTCTGTCAGCCAAGCCCTCACACAGTTGGTCTCCACAGTCTGTAGGAAAGCTGAAGAGGGAGGACCCCCTAACTGGCAAGAGTAGGAAAACAAGAGCATCAAATCTAAATGTGAACATTTTCGATATAATTTAAATGTGAACATATTCCAATACTGAGAAATATCAAAGCGATGCTCCCTGGAAAAACAATCTTAATACACATCACATGTGGACAAGTGCAGCTCACAGATGGCAAAACTGGAAGCCAAGTCTCAAGTTCGGCCATCTTCACAGGAAAGCCTGAAAAACAATTAATGGCTGGCATGAACTCAAAACTCTACTAACATCACAGAAAGCTCTTGTACTTCATTCAGTTTTAAATGGTCTCCAAAAGGCCAATTAGCCCCTTCCAAGGCAGGCAGGCTCTATTTGAGCTCTGGCAACAGGATGCTTGCAAATAGACAGTCTTCAAGGAGCTCACTGGTAGGATGAGATGAGTGAGATCAGGGCTTGGCGCATCAGTCCTAAAATTATTGACTCGAGATTTAACTTATTTTCTCCCAAATCTCCTAGATTTCTCAGTAGCAACTTGGGAAAATGACATGTCTTTTTTTAACCTTTAAATCTACCCACGATTTGTAGCCACGATCTGCCAAGAATTTCCATTTCCCAGACTCATTAGAATGCACTTGCCCTGGGGAGGACACTTCTTACCTCTCAAGACTTACCTGGTAAAACAGATAACACGATTTCTTAAGAAAGATGGTTATCTCCTATTTTCACTCATGTTAAGAGATATGAAAGTGTGAAAATGGAAAAAAATAAGGGGAAACCCAACAAAAATTCCCAGGGAAAATTATTTGCAAAAGGCTGATAAATCTTTTCCACGCTAAATATAGAAATAATAGTATGTAATATTTATTGAGCACTTCTAGAAGCCACGTACTGTTCGGCTTTCACAAGCATTCTCTCATTTAACTCTCAAAATAGCAACACGGGTAGGTACCGTCATTGTTCTCATCTACCAATAAGGAAACTGAGGCAGAGGAAGGTAGAATAAGCAGCCATAGTCATATCCTAGTTAGTACCTGGGAGGCCTGGGATGTGAATGCAGGCAGCCAGATTTCAGAAACCCATCGTCCTCACCTACCCGCTGCCCCACCTCACCATCCTCCATGGAATAAAAATATTGTTCTGTGTATTTTTAGCTGTTTATGGCATTAGATTATTACACGCTCGATAAACCAAAGACAAGCAACAGAGGCTATGTGGTAAAGAATTTAACCCTGCCCAAGAGAGCTCTGGCCTTTGCCCTCGGCTGCTGAGAGGTCATCTCTAAGCCCTGGGAATGTCCAGCAGGAGTGTCTGTTTACCTGGGCTTTGAGCCACACAGGAGAATAACCTGACTTGTGGGCAGGGGGTGCTTTGGGTTACACGGTATCAGATCTACCTCTGGACACCAAGACTCAGGTGAGCTTTCCTGGTGTATATACCGTCACATATCATTGCCAGGATGGGTTATTGCTGTCCTTGAGCTCACCGGGAGAGGACAAGCCCACCAGGAGAGGACAACTGGGAAGCTCTGCATTTGGAACTCTCCTGAACTCTGTCCCATGTGTCTGTTGCCTTGGCTAATCTGAACCTGTATCCTTTTGCCGTAATAAACCATAAGCAAGCCTAGTAGCTTTCACTAGATTCTGTGAGTCCCCTTCTAGCAAATTATTGAACCTGAGCGCAGCCCTGGGGACCCCTGTACTCTGCAGTTAATGTCAGAAGTGAGGTCTGGTGGCCTGTCTCCTAGTTTAGAGAGGCCCATTCTCAAGTACAAGAGCAAGATGAATGTGAGTCTCCTGGGGTCATCGCCATTTTCATGGGGGAAGGATAGAGGACTCAGTGTCCGTTTCTTCTTTGCTTGTGAGCTTCTACTCACTGTCTGTTAAAATAGTAAAATAAAGGTTATAGCAAATAGGTTTCAAGTCAAGTGTTCTTGGTGTAGGCTGCCTCAAGGGCTTTGGGAAAAGTGTTCTGAGGTTACATCTGGAGAGAAAAGAGAGCTGCCATCAATTAATACACCTGCCACAGGTGAATAAAGAGACAGGGGGACATGTGCTCCCCTGAATTAGAGGTCTGTAGATACAGTCTTCACTCTAGCTAGTCTCAACCAGGACTCAAAGGCTTGGGAGGAGAGCTGACAGTCATTCACTGATTCGTTCATTCGTTCACCTAACAAAAGTAAAATGTCCACCACTATATTCCAGACACTGCCAGGCAGAGGCAATAATGCCCTTTGCTGTGGTGAGATTAGAACGAGAAATTAACTGCTTCTCTTGCTTAAAAGGTTCAGGAAGCAGAAAGGAAGAACACGTTTAATGATCTGATGGCTGGACGGAATTTGGCTCCCTCTGATCTGAAGCCCACAGGCACAGAACTTGGGCTTCAGGCTGACACGTTTGACGCTTGCACCTTTACCATCTCCGCCACCACGCTCTGCATCCATGTCACTGTCATCTTTCATCCGCATGACTGCACCTGCCTCCTAGCAGGTCAAGGCACCCGTCCACCATCTCCAGCCCAATCTGCACACCGCCGGGCAATTTCGGCAAACTACAAATCCAGCTGTCCCACAGTCCCACCTCCGTCCCAGCACCCTGGTCCTTCCCACCAGAGGACAGGCGCGCAGAGCACTCCTTTGCCCGGATGGCCCTCTCCCATCTTCCCCTAAAGAGCTCCTCCTCATCCTCCACATTCACTGCCAGACCTCACTGCCTGGGGAAAATGACCCCAACAAGTGCTGGAGCACTCCTGCGAGTTGTGATTTACATTTCTTTGTGTGATGATGTGATTCATGCCGGTTCTCCTCCTGTGCTCCCCTGCGCCCCAATGATAAGCCCCACGGAGACAGTCACAGCTTGTTTTTCTCACCACCGCATCCCCAGAGCGAAGCACCCTGTCTGACACGTATAGATGTCCACTACACACTCACCAAGTAAGAAATACGTGACTAGATGAAGGCCAAATTCCTCCTGAAATGACCAAAGGAACATAAAACTGGGGGTAAGATCTATGCCAGTCCTGGAAACCGGACGTTCATGACTCACACAAGAAATTTCAAGGAAATTCTACCGGGTCTATCATAAAGGAACGACCAGCGTGAAGGACAGGCCAAATAACCCGAGTCACCACGTGCAAGGGAAAGCCAGGCCGCTGGTGACGGAATCGGACCCAGCACGTCCAGCCAGCAGCCAGGACACCTGCCGGCAGGGCCCGCCTGAGGTTAGCGAGGGTGTAGGTGGGCAGGTGACTCACTGGTCACGCTGGCAGAGTGACTTGGTGCCAGCTGGCCGAATGGCAGTCCCAGGGCTCCCCCTCACAGCCGGTTCGGGCAGCCGGCTATGTAAAGCAGAAGGTGCCACGCTGCCCAGGGCCCCGGGGAGGACGGGTACACCAGCCGATGGGAAAGGAGACAGTGCTCCAGGGAACTTAGGGATGAGAAAAATAAAACTGCAGGAAAAAAATCCTTCTAATGCAGCAGAGAAGCTGTTTCTGTCAATAATTTTCTATTATTCCTCATACTCGTGATCTGGCCAATTAAAACTATAGAAAATCGAAACTTTCCCCTTTGTTGGAAGATCCAACTCAGGAATGAAATAATGTCTACTAGCACCTATCTAAATGTCCAATACCACATAACCTAGAAGCCCCCTGCCCCGGCAGAGTTCTGGCTGTCACCAACATACACTCTTGCCATCCCCTACAGGGATGGGATGCCCTGGACACATGGCCAGACTAATTTCCCTTAAGGTGGCTGTTTGACTTAATTCTCTCCACTTGAAGATGGGTCCAAGTCCCAGGTGGCACGTGGGGAGCTAGGGCCTTTAGGAGGGGAGATGCCTCAATTTTTCCTCTAGAAGATACCAAAAAGAACAACGAACAAAACCCAAGGAAAGCAAGGGGGAAGTAATCAATAAAAGATCAGAGCAGAAATTACAGATTTAAAAAGACAGTGCAATCAGTAAACACTTCCAAGAAATCACCAGCAAGTCTGATTTTAAAAAGCAAAGAACAAACATGAATATAGAGTGATAATAAGGAAAACATAACTGCTAAGAAGAAAGAGATTTTTTTAAAGCATGACAGAATGCTACTTGAGATGATACAAGCATTATCAGAACCTTCCAGGAAATGGACATTTCCCAGGAAAATACACATAATGAAAACTGGTTTCGGAAGAGAAAGAAACCTGAAGTACCAGTAACTGCTTGTAGAAATGGGGCAGTAGTGAGAAACCGGGCGCACAGAGCAACAGCAACCCCCCCCTGCCGCCCCCCCGCCCAGCTCACTCACAGGGAGGCGGCAGAGCCTCCCTCAAAGAAGAGAGTAGCAGAATCCTTTTGCATTTGTTTTGATGCAGAAGTTCAGGGACAGGGTGTTAACATATGCATAACATCAGTAATACTAAGAAAAGAGGGCAGGATTTTTTTATTTTCCTTTATCTTGTCTGACATCTCTGATTCGGTCATACCCCAAAGGAAGGGCCATGTTGAGGAAGACTGTGAGAGAGATAGAGAGAGAGAGAGAGAGAGAGAGAGAGAGAGGGGAGGCAAACCAAATGATCGTTTGACTCGTGAGGGATTCCTTCAGAGTTCCTGCACTGTCCCATGCCGTAGCCATGAGCCCCATTTAAATTTTACGTTACTTACAATAAAATTAAAAAAAAAAAATTCAGTTCCTCAGTAGCTGACATTCAGGTGCTCAATGCTGTCATGTGGCTACTCAGCTGGACAGTCCAAATCACATATTTCCACAGACACAGGAAGTGCTGTCGGGCAGGACTGTGAAGACTGGACTCAGAGGCCATTCTGGGTGACCGGGATCACA